AATGATGGACCTCTTATTTGGTGACGACTATAGATAACGTTTTACGTGTTTTAATGTAATAACATCAAAACGGGCTTTAGGTGCCGAACGCCCGTGTTGTTGCCAATGCTTCAATTTGATTCCCGTCTGTCAAAGACACGCGCATCATACCGCGCATTCATTTTTGCCCGTCTCCTGAATGTGTCGCTTGTGGTGTCGCTCGATCTACACCTACCGAAAGGAATGGTATGATCATACTGTTCATTACGGTAACCACATGGCATTTGACCATGACCTAGCTCAATACAATTATATGAAAATCAAATCTTAAACAGATCAATACATGAGATAATTAAGGGCAAGGGTAACTCCTCCGTCAGAACGAATGCATGTAAAGAACAAAAGTCCTTCTTTTGATCACGCGTCTTCTCTTTAGACAAAGATGCATTCGTTACACATTTCACTACCTTATATTTACCGCTGCTTCGACTTACATTTTATAGGTTTATTAGGAACAGCGACAAAATTTAGCAGTATTATTAACATGGTAAATGTTTCGTTTAACAAAGTTGAGTTTGTCATTCTTTTGAAAAGCCTTTTGAGCTTTCTACGACGGCATTGAAGGCAGTTTCGGTTTTGGCAATGGTAAAGCTAATGTTGTAAATAGTACAATTGTCTAGTAAATGCGTGAACATGCAATGTCATTTATGGACAAAAGGATGCACTGAATTGGCACGTTACACTAAGAATGATTAAGGTCTGATTTAATAATCCCACTCGTTCCTTTCTATTATTTTCGATTAACCGGATTTCACCTTTATCTAGCTGTAGATATTAAAGCAATTAGTATGATGTATTTTGCTTCTGTCTGTTAGGCGAACAGTTATGGATGACTCAGCGCCGGCGCTAGTCCATATACCCTGGCGCCCTCTAAGAGACACGAGATGAAAATGAAATATTTAGTTATTGTTTTTCCAGTGATCGGAAACAGGTTGTTGCGAATATCAGCTTTCGCATCCGCATCCTCGGATAATCTGCATAAATTAAAATATCCACATCCTCATTCATTGATGCTGAAATTCTTCGCGGATGTTCGAGTCGTGACATGACCTAAAAGACACGCTGGAATAATTTATAAACTTTCCAGAAATAGAATGCAGCTCAGCTGTTGTTATTAAAATATAACTTTGACTAAATTCCACAACGATTAAGCTAGACAAATTGATTGGTTTTCATGAAGACTGATTTTGATTGATTCTTTTGTTAATAAATATCACAAAATCATTGAAATAATATTTTATTAAAATATCAAAGAAAGTAAAAGGCTTTTTCACGTAGATAGACCCAGTAAGGATGTACGTGTTTCGCATATTTTTTAAATACATAAAATCAGCATCTGCATCAGCAACTGCTGATGTGTAAAATACCTGCACCAGCAACAACTCTGATCGGAAATTTGAGTGCCAATGCAATGGTGCCATTATAAATGATATTGGGAAACAATATAATTCTGTTTCTAAGTTTTAATTACCTAATAAACACACACACATTAGTTGTTTAATTTAGTTTATAATGTCAGTCAAACAATCATTTATTATATATATAATAGCTGTAGAGTAAATATTATACACTTGAAAACGTTACTTTTGAAAACTTAAATGCTATGGAATTCACTTTGAATCTAATTTGTGTGGAACCTGGAGCCATGTCATCTAATTCCATGCTTAGTCTGTCACTTAGTCTTCAATTTTGTAATATGACATTTGAATTAAAATTTTAATATACTTTTTAAACTCAGGAAATGATATTTTATCTAATTATATGCTCCGGAGTCATATTGTAAAAACATATACAGTTTTCCATAAAAGGGTCGTCGTCGGGTAAAACCATGGCATGGTTAAACGAAATCGTGGTACCAGGAGTTTGGACTTGGCTCTAAGGTTAATATAATATACTGTTTAATGTAGTCTCTCTTGTCTCTCCATTATCCACTTGATGTGTAGACATAGTTTAGGCTTCAGTCTCCCACAAATGTAACTAAATACCTACCTTATTGTTAATATGCATCATCTAACTTTGTGAGAAGAAATAAATAGTTTTGTATGTGTATTTTGTATTTGTTGCACTATAGAGGTGACATCCTTCCCATGTTGATCCCCAAACTCACAAATTTTAAATTATATTAATGCTCCCTTTATCATCGATCTTTGTAATATAATCAGTAATAACGTAATATTATAATTCACGCTCATCTTATTTAGCATTCCAACAATTATATATTTATAGCTATTCTGCAATATCAAAATTCAAAATTTAATATGATAGCACTCACTAACGTAATATAAGTTCTCGTGGAATAGTAAAACCTGCAGAAGCTCCTAAAATTACTAAGCGGAAAATTCTATACCAGCGAAATTCTGAAAGGGCTCATTGGCATGAGCATGGAGAAGAAGTATGCATTTTTGATAGAAAATTAGTAGAAATAGACAATTAAACGGTTACACCCCTTAAAACTTCCAGTAGTAAACTTTTGTACCAGCTTGACCCACTTGGCTCCATCTACACCCACAGACCACACCAGGCCACAACTCACAGACGGTATGGAACCCTTTATTCTACGGAGAGTCGTTGGCTCTCTGTGTGTGTCTTTCTTGTGTGTCTCTCTCTTCTATCATCTTTATAATGGGGAGTGCTCAGACGAACTTTGCGAACTGGTACCACTGTCGCGTTTCCACCTTCGAACCTCCCGCCAAAGGAGTAGAGTCCATCCTTACATGTTATTTGGATGGATTGCCATTATAAGACCATGCAGGAATCTCGTTAGTTCCTTAATCGAATCTGCAAGATGTGGAATGTTCTTCCTCCTGAAGTATTTCCTTTGCGTTATGACATGGAGTTCTTCAAAAAGCTTCTCTACAGGGCTTTCAAAGGCTGGCAATGCATAGGCAGCTCATCTGATGTTGCAAACATCCATGGGCGACGATGACCACCTCCCATCAAGTAGCTCTGCTTGTTTGCCTTCTTCTTTATGTCTTTATATTCCTAAAAAAAATAGTAACAGTAGAACTCCTTGTGAAAGAGTTCGTCCAAGGACGGAAACCATAACTATTTGTGCTGCTGAAACATGAAACTGTAAGCACATGTGACTTGTCAACTTATGTCTCAGAATGACGGGTGGCAGTGCCATTCGGATCGTTACGATTTAAAGTTCTGAGCGGCATAGCTACTGTTATGGATTGACACTTGTCGCGGGCGGGCACAGACATAGACAACCATTAATTACACCAAAAATAAATGTAGACCATACAAATATTTCTCTCGATCTGAGAATTGAACCCGGGACCTGTGTGTGGCAGACCAGCATGGTACCCGTTCGGACACGGACAGAATGTCAATGTCACCGGGTGGTTGTTCATCTGGTTAATCAGATGATCATAACCGTGTACTTTGCAACTTGCCCCCATTAAATCCTTAACAAAGTTGTCACGTTGTCAAATGGACAGCTCGTAGTTTACGAGTAATAGGTTCAAACAGTCCCATATTACGTAAGTTAGACTAGTTCCATTATACGTCCCACAGTCGGGCACCGGTCTTCATACAGCCTAAGGTTATGAATTACTACTGACCGATTCTCATTACATTTTCTACTTTTGGCAATTCGCAAGCTTCAGCTTTTATAAAGTTCATGATTCCGTCGGTCATAAACTGCACTAAATAAAATAAGAAGAAACAAAAACGCGTGCGAAAATAGTAGAACCATAAAACCGCCAACTTTGAAGAAATATCCGAAAACAAAAAGTAACGAAATACTGTTCTATTATATTCTATTTTTAAGTTTCTGACTTCTCTTGAAGAATTTTGCCAATGTCAAGTCAATGATGGTCATATTACACTTTTTTTTTAATGTTTAATTAATTAGCACTGCTCTTTAGTCTATTCCGGCTTTTGGAACAATACAAAACAACACGATATGCCATCACCATAAAGTTTTATTGTTTAAGTTTGTTAGTACCTAATAATAAAATCACTTATTAAGTCTAAGAGTCGTATTCTAGAATTCAAGTCAAGACTTGAGCAGACTTGAGTATGATTTCAAGCACTGGAAACCCTAATTTAACATTGAGTAGAGTTCTAGAATACGACCCTAAGAGGGTGTTTGAAAAACAAATAACAGAAACTTGAAATTTACGAGGCGAGGAATAGGAAGGTGGAAGACAGAAAGGAAGGTGGACTTTATCGAAATACTAATGCTCAGCTCACACTGGCGCAGAGTCGAAGCGTCGCGACGCGTCATGTTTTTCGCCTATAGCATATTCATCTCTATTTTCCCATAGTTAAGGTACAAATTTGTGTTTTGCAAATATGGAATCGAGCCGCTCGCGTCACTTGGGCGCCGTGAGGCGTCAGCCGCTGACCAACCGACGGCGCGCGACGCCAGGCGATGAAGCTGAAAAACAGGACGCGACGCGACGCTTCGACTATGCGCCAGTGTGAGTTGAGCCTAAAAAGATTAGACACAAGATTTTGACATTTTGAGAGACGTCAATTTACTTTTTTTAAATATTCCCTGCCGGGAAGGTTTAAAATTTATAATTCCACTGATAAAATAAATAACTATAGAGCAAAATTTTCATTTTTTTAAAAATCATAACAAGATAAATAAGTTACAAAACGATAAAATATTGAAATCAGTGTCTTAAAATAGTCTATATTTTCGGAAAAAAATGTATTGGTCAAAAATTGTGAACAATGCCCATTATCAGGATCCTCAATAAATATTTTCCATTGTGGTTGTAATAAATTATATTTTCACTTTCTCTTAGATAACATAATTCCTTAGAGGATGGAACCATAGTCTAAGCATAATTCACTTGTTTGGGTTTTTCAAGTAGTCTTTTAAGCGGCGGGAGTCAATATTTATGTTTTCACTTTCAGTCAAATCCCCCTTTATTGTCACTTTGAACAAAAACTTTGAATTCATAATTAGTGGAATTTTTAGGATAAAATCTTTTGTAATTTGGTTTAAAATAAGGAAATAGTTCTAACTTTCTTCATCACTACTTCTTTCTTCATAATACACTTAAAAAAAAAATAATCTTTGTGAACACTGTACTTGTAACTTCAAAAACCCGCCATTTCATCGTTGATGGCTGCATTCATTTTTAGATTTTTACTAGTGTTTCTGACTGTGTAGTATTACTGATTAATTTTCTTTCATGATAAATTTATTAAAGAACTTCATTAAGGACGCAAGTCGCCTGTAAACAACACTAGATTCATTAATTCATTCGTACAGGCACATTCCTTCTCGTCATACATGTCATTCGATCTTTCATTTTGTTCTTTTCATGTCAAATAAGTTAATCTGGTTTAATCAATAGAACTACATAGTATTTTCTTGATTTCGTTGTTTAATTCATCACAGCTCCCGATAACTTGTCATAAACCTTCAAACTGGCGTTTGTATAATACCCAATCTTAATAATTTCAATAAAAGTCTTTTCATTCACTTTTTCAGCCGTTTTAAACAGGTCGTCAACTGGCAACACATTAGAATACACAATCACTGTACCATTCAAATGAGCAATGTATGTAACTTTAATGTTTATATACCCTCTATTTGCTGTTAGGACCGCTGAACAAGCTTGTCCTGGGTTTAGTTCTATTTCCACATCGCTTGTAGAACCTATTGTTACCGTCTCTGTTTTCTCGAAGCTCTCGCCAAAGCTAGAGGTGTACGAATATGTCTTACCGCCGGATAATGAAAAAAATTTTATTTCTAATCCGCATTTTATGTCTCGAGTATATTCAGTGCCTGTGCTATTAGTCCATGATCTTGTAACAGATGTTTGTACAGATTGATTAATTCCAGTGCTTACTTTAATTTTATTACTGAATTTATTTTCGAAGTCTTGAACATGTACTATAGAAGGCTCAGAAGTGATTTCCATGACTTCTGCTGATTTTACTTCAAAAATCGTATACACTGGGCACAAATTATTCTGTGCGAATTGGTCACAGAGTGTCTGGTTGTTGTAGGAAATGGGTAAAAAAATATCAGCATCTATTAAGTCGTCAATGCTTATTTCAGGAGCATAATGTCTTATTATTTGGTCTTCTCTTATTCCAAAAAGACCTAATTCAGCGTCTTTCACAATTCTCGCGTGTGTACCTGAATGTGTCACTTTTACATCACGTGCATTTCTTCCACATTCAACATTTATATTTATCTTTGCACTTACTAATTCAAACACTATTAATAAACTAAAATAAACGCTTTTCTTAGAGTAAGCCATTTGAAATGCCAATATGAAATAAAATTAAACGTGTTTATCGAGGCCTTTTATTTCGAATACTCAATGTATTAGACATGGGCAACTCCGGAGTCAAAGAGCGAGTGTATCGATTCCGTGAGCGGAGTTATTTCCTTACTGAACCGGACGCAGTATTATTGATGCCGCCGAGTTATTAAATCGGGTCCGAGTCAATTAGTAACAATACAATGCATAGTTCGGTATTCAATTCGGATCGCAACTCTCTTCGGTTGACCTTTGGTGTCTTCAATGTCAATTTTAGACCGACAGGCGTCCGTGCGATTAGATTGACAGGCCTAATAATATAGAGTACGAATGTAAATCAATCAACGATGTATATCCACTGTTTTCTATGTTGAACTTATTAATAATAATAACAATTTATTCGCAGTAAGTGTGGTGTACGTAGTTGGATTAACATATATTTCTATTAACAGGTTCTCACACTTAGCTAGTAATAGCATGCAAATTTACCACAATTTTGTTGTATTTATCTTAATTATTAAAATATTTTATTCAATTGTTATACATTTAAAATAACAAGTTGCAATAATGTCAAGTTTAAATAAATATCCAATTATTTTCTGTAGTCAAAATATTCTTGAAGTGAATAAAAACAACAGTTGGACAACCATTTAAATAACCTTTTTCGGAACATTGTATTTGGCGTATTTTTTATTTCAATTGGTAACGAATCATATATTTTGACACACATAGGTAGACAGTTACGACGATACACTTCTCTTTTTATGTTGACCGGTAAGTCTGTCCGGAAACCTCGTGTTAAATAAAGGTTCATGTCGTTTGAATAATTAATAATTTTGCTTGACGAAGGTACAGGCACTCAAAATATAAATGCAAGGCAGTGTTAATAAATTAAATTTCTTAAAAAGTGGTTTGCACGAAGTTACAGGTGATGTGTTGCAAAAAGAATCTAACGCTGCGCTTTTGCGAGATAAGGACTGTGTCAATGCTATCACTGAAACAACATACCCATGATAAGCCTGAAGAGCAACAGTTTGGCTGATAGTTTTAGATAGACACCAAAGAGCATACGAAAAGCGGTCAATTTTAGTACATGTTTGGTCAATGTGTGAATGCCAAGAACATCCACTGTCTAAAATGATGCCCAGAAAGTTTATCTCATCACTGCTGTTGATTTTTCATTATTGTATGCAATGTTTAAGTCTAGACTCCTTAAGTTTACATTGCAGAAATTAACTGCCTTAGTTTTACTTAGATTAACTTTCAAATTGTTCAATCTTAACCAATCAATGACACTAGCAACAGTTTTGATTAACTCCAGATTATGAAGTTCTCTGTTAACGTTGGGAACTAGTACGGAAAGGTCATCCGCATAGAGTATACATTTATGCTCGGTTACTGCAGGAAGATCATTGATATAGATAAAAAATAAGAGTGGGCCCAAGACGCTTCCTTGAGGAACACCCATATTAATTTGCCGCGATTTTGACCTAAATTTATTTGTATTCTGTTTTTGAGTTAGCCTTGTCACCTCTACACATTCCTGTCTATCCTTGATGTAACTGTTCAACCATGCGAGAGCTGTACCTCTTACGCCGTAAAAATCACACTTGTGTAATAGTATAGCATGGGATACAAAATTAATCGCTTTGGTCATGTCAAAGAAAATTCCTGTTATGAGTGTGCTATTATTCAAATTTTCGTTAATACTATTAACTAACTTAAAAGCAGCAGTGGCTGTCGATCTGTCCTTCCGAAAGCCGTGTTGGTCAGCATTTAATATATTGTATTTTTCAAAGCCAGTAAGTCTATTGTGTATAGCTTTTTCAAAGACATTACTAAGTACTGGTATTAGAGCAATTGGACGATAGTTGGTTATATCCTTTTTATCACCTTTTTTGTGGATAGGCGTGATAATGGTAAATTTTGTTTTTGTGGAAACACTCCTTCTGTAAATGAAATATTTATCAAGTGACTCAAAATGGGGGCTAAGGTAGAAGCGGCAAATTTAATTACAGAGGTCTGTATTTCGTCATAACCAGACGATTTGGTGTTATTTAAGGTCTTTATAAGTTTTAGGATTTCGTTTGGAGTACTAGGACAAAGAAAGATGCTGTTTGGCAACCTGTTCATCCCATTGATAGTTGGTTTATTAACCTTATCATTATTTATAATTTTTGAAGTAGATGTGTTTATTAGACTATTGCTGAATACTTCTGCTATGTCAGCAATCTTATGTCATTGTAAATAGTTCTTTCTATTATTCTTCCACACACATTATTCGGTGATACACTCTTTATGATTTTCCATGTTGCTTTGCAAACATTTTTGGAATTCTTTAGGTAAACATTGTTGGCTATTTTTTGAGATTTATTGATACATTTTCTTAAAATTCTAGAATATTTTAAATATGTTGTTTTTGAGTCCTGAGTACGTTGTTTGTAATATTGATATCTCAATGTACGCTTGCTTTGACATGATTTTTTTATTCCTCGTGTTATCCATGTCAGTCCCTTAGCATTTAAATTAATCCTAATTTTACGTTTTGGAAAACAGAGTTCAAAGAATAGAGTAAACAAATCGTAAAACCTATCAAAAGCAGTATTGAGACGCAAGTCACTATAAACATCCGACCAGGTCAATATACACTCACCAAACTTTTGGAGATTTTCTTTACTGTAGTCACGTTTGTAAATATAGCAGTTCTGTAATGCAATTATATTATTGTTGGTCGTGAAGGTCAAGATTTGTCGTGATCAGATAACTGGGGCATTGGGACTGTAAAATTAGCATGTGGAATATTACTAATGATGCGATATTGTTAGTGTCAATTTAAGTAATTAAATTACACATAAGACGATTTAATAGCATATATTGAAGTTTTGTGTCTTTTCTATCTATTTAAAAGCGATAAATCGCACCAACGCGCAACAATTTATGCTTGAGACTCAATGAAAAGTCGTTCTTAAAACGGAATCGGATTCAGTGATTCGAATCACTTCTCGGAGTCGGGATTACACATGCCTAAAATGAAGAACAACTTAATCTTTTGACCTTTGACCGTAAAAATACAACAATAACAAGGCAATTCAATTGGCAAATCTTGTAAATTGGAAATATTTTCTTTAGTATTACCATGCACCAATATTTCAAGACTAGTTGCTAATCGCGATGCAAGACGACGTGCTACGCGTGGTCGGGTATATAATACCAAACTGCTACAGAGATGTCTACCAAATAATTATTTTTGTAGCTAATTTGCTAAAACATTGACGAGCTGCATTGGCTGCAATTTATCAAAGTTACTCTAATTTCTAGTGACTAGATGGAGCTTATTGCACTGATTTTTATGGATTTGGCCGACTATTATTTTAATTGTTTAGGATTAGCGCCATCTACCCATATTAGGAACAGTTAATTTACAAATAAGTTAGTAACCCACGATGCCATGTATTAACACGCATATTTGTCAGAAATAAGTAATAATCAATGGTCGGAAAAAGATGTTCGCTAACGACTACTCCTTTTTTTTTTTTTTTTTTTTTTTTGACGGGGGGGAAATCTTTATGGATACCCCTGAGCCCAGGGAGACTCAGGGGTTATGTGGGGACTCTCCCTCTAGACTGGAGGGCCTACCCCAGCTAACGACTACTCCTTGATGTTTAAACTGTTTAAATTTATATAATACGAACGTATCTTACTATATAGATTTTAAGACTTTCGTGGTTATTTTATATAATACGAACGTATCTTACTATATAGATTTTAAGACTTCCGTGGTTATTCACAAAATGATTATCACTAGTATCAGATTTCTTACCACGGTATGACTTCTTTTTATTTTCCCGATATTTCGGAACGGTTGCAACGGTTTGTGTGAAAAAAGTGAGTGACAATGGTAACGCCACAACAAATCGCGATGAAGGTAGTCGTCGACAGCGCAAGAGGGTAGACAGATATGTCTGCTCATAAAGCTGTCATCTGCCGCCCGCCGTCCAGTCAACCCGTGACCATGGAGCGTGCAACCGTTCCTAAATATCGGGAAAATAAAAAGAAGTCATACCGTGGTAAGAAACCTGATACTAGTGATAATCATTTAGTATCTTACTATTTTCACAGTCTAACCAATAATTCCTACAGTTGAGTTGTACAACGGACACGTCTAGACAGAGTAATGGTGCGGGGTGTGTGGGGCGAGAGAGGGGCGGGTGTGAGCCCGAACTGCCATACACTCGTTCGGGACATAGTACCATTCAGGGTTGACGCATTTAAGTAAAATATTTCGTGTGAGTGTTGTAGTAATTTATTGGAAAATGGTACATACTACATGTGCTGTTAGAGAGTACATATCCGTACCTGAGAAGCGTTACACTGTATACTAACAGGGAACGCGGTATGGGTGAACAAGCGCGCGCTACTATATTTATTATATCAGAACTATGTCCATGTATCAAAATATTCCTGTGCCCGTCACATTTCCGGTATTTACCTTAAGTCAGGGTTAGGTGATTAAGGGTCGTATTCTAGAACTCTATTCAATGCTCAAGTCAGGATTGCACTGGCAACACAAGCACTGGAAACACGACCCTAATGTAATGTATCGTTGTGCTCTATGGCATCTATGGATTAGTAATGAATGATCATTCAGATCATTCGAATATGAAAATTAGTAGGTTATTAACACAGACATATATCTAGATAGACGCCGCAAGTGTACGTAGGTACTTCGCGTGCCCAAAGTATGTGAAATTCACTTACTTGCCGCTGCTACACTTCAGAACGCGCTCGACCATTATCGGAGATAAACACCAGTCGAAAACGCGAAAAATGCTTGGTTGTGCCATTATAAACTACAAAAGCACCATGCCTGTGGGTAAACGGGTAAACAGGGATGTTTCCTTCCACAGGCAAGTGATTTTGTAATCAGAAGATGCATAATTTATTTTAAAAACAATTACTTTGGTTTTGTATGAATTTCGAGAAAACAAATATGCAACAGAGTGAATGCATCGTGATTTGTAATACATTGCGGTTTTTACTTGGAGCGGTATACTAGTAATCCTTTGTTAATACGCCATAAAAA